TTTTCATCCTATGCAAGAAGATGAAATTGTCATCTAGCCTGCTCTTTTTTCTCAGTAAGCATTACCACTGGTAGATCAAGATCAGTGGCAACAACATAAGGTGGTTTTGCATTTGAGTCAAGATTCTAATTTAATCTCTTCCTCATTCTAGACAAGCACTTTTGTTCCTAGCCCAAGTGGTGGTTAATCTTCCCCACTGTTTGCCAATATAGTTTATCCAGATTGTAAACTTGATATCTGCATCCTCTTCTAGAGCTTTAAAGCAAGTCGAAACTAAGGATGCAGTAGCGCATACCATCAGATTTTTAGCAATCCCTCTCATTTTAATGCTAGCTGCAGCAGTTTTTTAGAGGTCAAATAAAGCATCTATAAGGAGGGTTTCCTCACCTCAAAACAACCCTTTGAAACCCAATAGAAGCACAATTTTATTAAATTAGTAGTCGCTGTCAAAATAGTTTGTGACCAAAATTTGAGCAAATCTGTGGCAAAACAGATTTCACAATATTCTGATGATCTGATGATCTACAGTCAAGTGAACAAATAAGCTATATTTATGTTAATAGTTAAGGTACTTGAATGCACTTTTGAGATTTAACGACTGAGTTTAGAGTCACTTTACTATTAACCTTTATTTCCAAAGACCAACAATCAAACTGTGTACTAAACCAAAATCTGCTTGTGGCATGTCTTAAGATTCACCAACTATTTTCAGGAAAATACTCCTACTGTACATTTGCTGATGTCACATTCACTACATTATGAATACAGTGAATGTTGCAGACAGATGTACTGTGAATGTTGGGGAAATCCATCATCAAGTGAATGTTCCTGGGTTCACCATACTTATATACAGTAAATAATCAATACAGATTTGTGCTTTCCTGCTTTGATGGCTAGCACAGGAAAAAGCACTTTACTTTTATTAGACTATTAAACAAAATTTATAGTAGATGAAACTTAATAGATTTTTACTGCTATGAGTTAATGGAAGCAACTGCTCTCTACATTATAAAATAAATGGTCATTCAAAACACCAAATAACTTAGATATAATGCACCATTTAACCTTTGAAAACAAATAGGGAGAGGAGATGATATTTGGAAAGAAGAACACTGCATCTCTCTGAAAAAATTGGCAGCTGTATTCGCCAGCAAGTAATTGAGCAAATCTGCTCTGTGAATTAATCAAGCAAATTTCATTCACAAAAGTCTTTCTAATCTTTATCAACAAAAAATACACATACACATGCAGACCGTTTGGTTGCACCTATAAAATGTACACATGGCTCTATTCAAATGCTCATGAATCAATAAAATCCCATGTATTTTGGTTCATTAACATGACTATATATCAGCACTATATAACATTCTAGATTGCTGAGGCTAAACCACTTATTCATGAAGTTTTCTTCAGAGCCTTGGGACAATTCATTGCTATCTGGGTTGTGAAACAGCATGTCTTTAGTTGTTTAATAGTGTGGAGGTGGTCTGGACTGCACTGTTCAGAACTATGCAGATAAGTTATCAGTTGCCTTCAGCAAAAAGCAAAGTCAATGCAAGATCTAGTAGTACAACCCTATAAAATTACCTGACACATGGTGTATAAATAGTTTAAATTAGCATTTAACACAATTTCCTATCCGTATTCTTTCAGTCTACATCGATTATGAGATCCTTGCAGCTTTCCTGATTTTGCAGAAGCTTTCTCCAACGCTGCAACTTCTACGTCATTCCTTTTGAAAAAAAAAGGCTAAAAATAGAATCTACCAGCCTTGTAAATAATTTATTTCCTTTGCTTTAGAGAGAAGCATTTTTGTTTTATAGCTAGCCTATCTTAATAGGCAAGCCTTTATGACAGATGTCTCTAAAGAATCATTGCTTTTACAGGTTACTGCAATGTATTATTATTTGTATTAGACCAGAAATGGAGCATCGTTAAAATGATGTAACTTAGCGAGGAAGAAAAATATTGGGTATGTCCACAGTTTACAGTAATGGGCATTAATTAATTTAATAATATATAAGTTGCAATCATACACAGTAACAGACTACAGCCAATTAGATTTCCGCTTTACCTCTGTTACATACTGAAGTACCAATAAAGCGCTAAAGCTGATTGGTTGAGTGTGCCAAAACATTTGCATTAAAGTAATAAATCATTTACAAAACATGTCAATATATCTTAAACAGTCCAAGCTTATAATGTAGAGTCATATAATGTGCCAAAAGAAGATATATGTGTTATATAGTTCTAAAATGCTAAAAACTTGATATTAAAATGACAAATATATAACTTAGTAATAATATGGAAGCAATTCTTGTCTCCATAGCATTGCATTGCTTGTTTTAAAATGCTGAAAAAATATCCGGTTAAGTTCGGCTAATTTAGCTGCTCAGACAAATACCTGTGCACTACCTGCAAAAATCCTTGTTCACAGATTCTACAGTACACACTAGCTAAAGAAGCAGCTAGGATAAAGTGTGACTTTTATGTAACAACTGTGTTGTGTTATAGCAAATGCAAAGTAGAAAACTTGATTCCCGCTCTCATAATTACTAAGGACACAGTGCTGGGGGAATAAACCAGAGGAAGACTTGCTTTAAAAATGACCTGTAGCAGAGATCCCCCCCATTCATAATCCTAAATGTTGTAAGGATTAAATCATTTTGGAAATTATTATTTAATGTCAAACTTAATTATGCTCATCAACGTATATGCACTATACCTGGCCATATAGAGCAATATCCAGCACATTTAGGACCAAAAAGGGTGTAAATATATCTTCCAGAAAATGATCACTTCACGCTTTAGTATAAACCATGTAGAAGAACATGATTCCAGAAGGACAAGTCTTAGAAAGTTTTAAACTGAACAATCCATAAACACATTTAACTGTAATTATATAACATTTTTGCCAACAAAACCATAGTATAGAATGCAAAAGTATAATACAACTACATTCATGTCTAACAGACAAATTATTCATGACAACTTTATAAAGACTAATTTTAAGGCATTGTTATAGGTTTCAAACCCCATGGTTGCCAACCATCTATTATTATGTGGATGGTCCATGAAAAAAACACCCTCCTCACTTTCATCTCGAATGTGCATCAACAGTAATGAAATATCTGTTAAAAAAGCCCTACCTTTCCCTAAGTGAAAATGATCTTGTGTAGACTGCAGAGCTATCTGATTTAAAATCAGTGCCCGTGCTTCTCCCTTTGACCTAAACTTCCCACCTTCCCACACATTTTCATGTGTACCACTAATCCCACCCTACCAGCAGCAGCCGGGGAAAGTGACTGTACAAGCTGTGTTACAGTTTATGGGTCATACTGGGGATGATTTGAGAGCAGTATTTCTAAAATACACTGGTAACTGTCTTTCTGAATGGTGGGCTAGTGGACTCGCTTGTTTTATTCTATTTGACTTTTTCTACCCAAAGTGGTTAAACATCGTTAAAAAGAAAAATATACATATATACATAATGATTCTTCTTTTGACACCATCCAAGAATATTTAACTTTAAATTCACAGTGCAGTTAAATAATCAATAACCATAATCCTCACAGTATTAATAAAACAGATAAAAACATACATGAAACCTTTAAATAGTTAAATACAAATGTTGCATGTCGCATGCTACCATAAAAAGGGACCTTACAAAATGATTTCACTACATTTGGCATATTTCATGCAGATATCTGGGGATGGTACACTATTTACTAGGGATGAGAGCAGGTTCAGACCAAACCCAGTCCAAAACGGAGCTTCTTCGAACATGTAGAAAGCTCCTCCAAACATGGAAAGAGGCTGGAAAAATCCCTACCCGCAGCTGAACATAAGCAAAGGGGCGGGATGCAGTGATGTCATTGACCTAATATGGCCATGTGGCCATATACGGTGATATCAGCACAAGCATCCTGTCCCTTTATTTATGTGCAGCTAATTGGGTAGGTGGCCCTATGTAGCTTCCGGGTTCGGTGGGGCACAGGTTTGGACTGGATTTGGTCTGAACCTGAGCTCATCCCTACTATTGACATAGTAATATAAATATGTTCAAGAGGGGAAGGTCCTACAGCCACACCCAGTAGAACAAATAAGTTTAAGTCCTGGGGGCATTAAAGTACCAGTAGGCATACTTGCCTCATTGGAACGCCGGCTGCTATAGGTGAAAGAACTCATCATTATTTGTTCTGACAGCGTGAGTCCACAGCTGGTCCTGACATATATGAGGTTTATGCTAACCAAGTGTAGGCTGAACACCAATATGCATATATGTTTTGTGCATTTTTAATGTCTCTAATGAAACATGATATTTTAATACAACTTTAAGTGTCTGTGAAGGTCCTATACTTGCCTAAAAAAGCCCTCCATGAGTTTCATCCCTTAGTCTTTTGGCTTTGGAACTGTATCCTCTGTCTACATACCTACTATTGACATAGCTAGTGGTTATATTGCTGATTAGCATGTATAGGTTAAAATTTTGTATTCTCTTTTTGAGCCAACAGGTGGAGTTTTAGGCTCCATTTCATGTTTTTGATTTTCTCCTTACCTGCAGTGGCAAAAAGCTTGCTGATTACAGAGTAGGTCCAGATGAAATACATAAGTGCAAATTAAACATCGAACTGAATTATCCACCTCTGAACGGCTTTGTCTGAGGTTTAAATCAGAGGCAGCCTGTCTGGAAGGGGATAACTACTGCTCTGCTCTGACTTTAGCTAAACCCCAATGCTCTGGGAATCAAGTGTCAAGTATAAAATTCTTATATGTATAACAAAGATTGCATGCATTTAGAAAAAAGGATATAAAACCGTTTAAAAACTTCAAAACTAAAATTGTCCCACAAAGATTATAGATTTCTTTAACCAATGCCAGATAACAGACTCATTGGAAACATTTACATTTTTGTATTTACATCTGCAAAATATATTATGAAAAAACAACAGTATTTCCATCATATACATTTTAATACATGCAAAAATACAGACACTTACATTGGCATTCCTTACAGCATTTACCGGGAACAAATGCTGGTGCAGTATAAGCTGAACAAGTTGGTTCTGGGCAGATTAAAGTTTCACACTGGACAGTTCCATTCTGCAACAAATAAAAAAAACCATATTTTATATATTTTGCAATATGTTGAAACACATTATGTAGCTATATAATGTTATGTTTGAAAGAGGACTTTACAATTATATGACTCAAAAGGCAAAGATGCTGTTTTAGGACTGCAACAAACTTGAGCATAATAGTGCTCCCAAAAAGTGCACAAGTGCACCCAATATACAGGAATAAAAAATTAAACATTCTCTCCCTAATAATCTTTTCAAATGCCACTTTATTAACCCTATATTTTATAAGGTTTTCTATAATTTATTAACCTTATTATTTTTCCAAATATATGATTATTAAAGTGACATTTAAAAAGTTTTTTGGGGAGGGAATTTTTTAGTTATATTTGTATATTGAGTGCACTGGTATTTATTTTTTTTATTGCAGTCCTAAAACAGTATATTTGCCTTTTGAGTCCTATATTAGTAGGAAACTGTGGACTCCAGACTTCATTAATGAATTCTGAACTTTACAAGTAACATTATCAGTTTCAGTAGATATACTATAATTTTGTTACACTGAAGGAGCTAGGTGGATGGGAGCATTGTTTGTTTTCTGTGAGATAGAAGCGCCCGTGCGGATGGTGCTAAAATTGTAATGACTATTAATCAAATACAAAAAAAGGCCATTAATACATTGTGATCAGGCTGGTATGTCCACTAATACATTATCAGGCTGGCATGCCCCTCTAAGCACCAATACACACTAGCAATGATGGTACAGCTAACAGTCTAAGGCCCTCTCACACGAACAGTTCCGGTGAGTTCCAATCAGCAGGGGATTCGTACATGGATCCCCTCCTGTTCGGAGCAGTACAGAGCGGATGTAACCTTTGTGACATTGCCATGTGTCTGTTTACATCAGATTCCCGCAGATCAGTTACAATCAGGTCTGCCAAAACAGAACTCTGTTCCGTTTGGTTTTCCAGACCTGGACAGATTCAGGGGGTAATCGGATGTAAACAGGCGCATGTCCATGCCCATAGAGTAACACTGAAAAACTGACAGGCAGACCTGATTGGACTGCCTGTCTCAAAGGGTGCTTAGATGTCAGCACAAATGTGCAGACAATCAAAAAGTATGTTTACTAAACTGGAATTATCTGACACTCATTTACAGTAAGCTTGTTCCAGATATGTGACTCTGAAGTATAGTACTTAGGCAACTAGCATATTTAGAAGCAGACCAGCAATAGCCGTACCCTGTCGTTTTTTCCTAACAGATATAGTATAAGACATGCTACCTATAAAATAAAAAAAAGCTTAATTTCACAAACCAAACTTCTCCCAACTCCAGTTTGGAAGATGTTACTGAATTTGGCTGGCTTTTGATTCATTATCTCCAATGTTCTATGGGGTGTACCTAACTGTCTACTGTTCCTATCAAATTCCTCATAAACTATTCATTATCTTAGATCAGCTGTTGAACACACATCAATATGTCTTGACTATTTTTACTGAAATTATTGATTTAGATGAGCAGATTTTCAAACATGCATCCAGCAAGAATAATTCTTCCACATTTTTAACTAACCTTTAACAAATAGTAGCCAGAAAAACTGGACACATCCACATTTCAAAAACAGGTAGTGTACAGCAAATAGCAAACATCAAACAAGAATTTGAGTGCTCCTACGACACGTTGAACGTATGGAATCTGTATTACCATGCAATCAGGGTAAATATTCATGATGATCACTGATATACTGTATATGGTACTTATTTACAAGGAAAAAGATAAATCAAACCGCATAATAAGGGCTCATTTACCAATGCATTTAAGAATTTGAGAAATATTAACTTCAATTATGAATTAGTGTGTAGATGAAATAAGTAAAACACAGATATTCTTTTGTTATGATTGTAGTAAATTTTCACACAATTTTCGTATGCGAGCATTCTCAAATCCTTAAAGGAAAATTATGAGGAGAGTGAAATACACTCATCCCCTTAATTAGAGCCGACATGTGACACTGAAGCTGTCACATATCGGCTCTATTGATCGGGGACTGATCTTCTCCCTGCATAGACAGGTGACTGACAGTCACCGCTCCCCGGAGGGATTCCTGTAGTGCTGACTAGAGGGATGGATGGGAAAGGGGCAGGCACAGCTAGTTCTGCCTCTAGAGAAGCAGAGCTAGCTGTCAATCAGGTAGTGGGGTGGATCCCAACAATATTGTCGGGATCTGTCCTGGCTGCAGCACGGCTCTGTGCTGTCAGCATATAGTGGGCAATAGCTATACTATACTAATGTCCTCCTGTGACTCTACAGCAGAGAACTATGGCAAAAAAGGATGGGCCATAGTTCTAGTTCTCTTTTAAGGCTTTTCTAGACGAACGGTCTTATTAGGTTCACCTGTCAGTTTTTGTGGCGGATCTGATTGAAAGCCCATTGTTAGTCTATGGGTAGCCAGATCTAAACACAAGATGGAGGACAAAACTGGGTGGACATGGATGTCCCAACAGTGACATCCATTTCCCACTGCTCCAATCAGCGGGGATCCGTGCATGGAAGCATTGTAGTTTGTGGAATCATTAAATAAAAAAGGGAAAGGTGATCAAATTAACCTTTCACAAAAAAGGTTACATATTTTAGGGTCAATATTTTAGTTAAAGTTTAATAATTTATTACCTGTCCTGTTGTATTTTAAATATTCAAACATGACCATTGCTCGAAGCCAATTACCAAGGTATATACTCTAATTTGGCTATTGACATACATCATGATCTTAGACATATTTAATTCCACAAGGCTTCCTATACATGCGATTCTTCAGGAACCGGCTGAAATTTGCACAATGGGTGCAGCTCTTGACACCCTTTCGGCCAGCATCCCTCAATCAGCTGATCAAAGGAGCCAGTCGGAAAATCTTCGAACAAACAGAGCCAGAAGCCAATGAGCTATTTAGGTATTCTGTTAGTGGCCAGCAGCAGAGGAAACAACAGAGATTCCTCTATCAACGGTCATAAGCGTTTATGGAGGAATCTGTTCTATTTTTTTTGTTCAGCCTGTGGGTTGAATGAAAAAAATAGAACAATGTTCCGTCCATCCGTTTTTTTACTACGGGCGGACGGCAAGAGGTTAAGAAGGAACTTATATTGCTATGTCAACATAGTTTTAAGTTTTTGCTACAGAAGTATGGCATAGTAAAGAAAAGTGTGTTGCTGAGTGTTTTAAGATGCTTTGAACAATGTTCCAGTAACTGAACAATATTACCACACAAAACTCTCCCTGTCAAGGGCAAGAAAAAACACTAGTTATATGCTATTGGAAGAGCCTAATAGCATTTAGCTTAATTGTCAGATGCAGTGCAAAAAGTGCCTGGCTGACCTTACCCCTAAGGAAACTAATTCACGCAGCAAGGATGTGTGATGAAAACTTGAGGAAAACCTGACATGAGCATTTTACTAGAAAAGCCCAGCTAGAATATATGGTTTATGAAATTTTAAAGATTAAAGGGTTTGTAATCTTTTTATTCAGATAAACGCAAATCTGAATTGTAATTTTCTTTCCATCACCTTAATTCCTTGCTTTAAACCCTTGTTCAATAACCTGACATTTTTAATGAAATACTATGTGCCTGCACAGATTAAAATGTAGATGCACAATACTCCTAAATCCTAATAAACATGTACAATCCATTCACTGCTGCCTCTTAGGCTTAATACATAGCAGACATTTCTAGCAGTTTCTTAGAAAAACCGCAAACATGTATAATGCTGTGTAAAACATGTACACGTATATCATTACTGTGCAGTAGCGATAAATCAGGAACATTTTCTTCCATACTTTGGTGACCTAAATTTGCCTTTATCAAATGATCTGGTTGGTTTCTAGGACATTCATAGCATGCCATTGATTGCCTTTCAAATTCAGATCTCTTGAGATGAGCCATCTTCAACAAACCACATTGTCTGTGTAAACAACAGCGTGTACAATAAGGAAACAATATGTAAACATACATTTGAATGGTAGTTTTAGAAAGCTGTGTTTATAGTTAACAGCAAATCGAAAATAATATTAAAAAACTGATTGGTTGTTATGGGGTCATCAACTGTGCCTATGTGCGACCATCTCATTTAATGATTCCACAAACTGCTATGCTTCCATTTAAGCCTTCATTCAAAATGAAAAAGAGATTATGGAAGTTATGATGTCAATTAGTGTACTCCACGCTGATAATTAAAATTCTGCAAACACTCCCAAGAAAGGGACAAAGTGAGAATTAATCTTGAATCCTTCACTTATCATGATTTTACTTCATTACAGTAGTGGTTAATTCATGTTATCATTATTTTTATAATGGGCACTGAAATACTGTAGTGGCACAGTAGTCCATTGACTATTTTTTTTCGGTTTATTCTAGTTTCCCTGCATTTGGCCTGGTAACTGAGGAGTATGTAAATTGCATAGCAAATGCATCTAAACTTAAAAGAGAAAAAAAATACGATATATTGCAGCTTTCCAGTCCTTAGATGAGATGACTGCATTAGTTAACTTTTTTGGACTTGTGTCTCCTTTATTTCCACCTAGTCATCATTCTAGTAACACATTTTCTGTCTTAGAGCAACAATGCTCACTTGCTTTACTGTATTTATGGAGGAGCAGTGTTGTCACTCTAGGACAGGGACTGTGAAAGGACTATGGAACACCTCCCCCTCTCCTCATCCCTATAACAGAGGAAAGGCATTCTGTAATCCTAACACTTCCTAGCAATATTCCTTCAATATTGTAGAGTGCACAGGACAGCTCTGGATTTAGGGCAAGAGCAACAGGAATTTTTGTTTACACTTATCAAACAGATATAACAAAACACTTTCAAATGTAATATACAGACCAGGTGGGAGAAAGTAAGAGAAGTTAATTGTTAGGGTTTACATACACATTAAATATAAACAAAAATAACTGCATATCTTTTGTCAGTATGCTCTAATATCTAATTTCTGCCAGGTTTTAGAACACCAACATTATAGGCATATTTTA